AGGAGAGAACAAAATGGCCCATAACTTGCCTCTGCAAACAGGCTTCCTCCAACCAAGGCTTAGCTTCCTACAGTCAGGAGACTTAGCTTCCTCGAATCATGAACCTTATGTAACTGATGTCAGCTGATGCTGAACAAACCAATTGGAACACACCTTGTTGGAGGTGGACCTGTAGGCAGTGCTCAGATTCAAGAGGGACTTGTAATGTCTGAGCGTTCTAAGCTCAGAAGCTGAATATTCTAAGATTTCTTAATTTGGGGTTAGGAAGGGGGGTCATACATGGGGGTGTCTTATACACTGAAAAATACTGTATTTTGTACCATACTGGTTAACAGGAACATGGAGTAAACTAAGGCAGGAGTGATTGAAGGGGAAAGGAAAGCTTACAGAAAGCTCCGATACATTTCCCATGAATTCTCCCTTGCTTCCAAGGCCACATGCCATAGTCTCAAGCTGCAGGATCTTTCAAGCATTATGGGATCATTTTAGGGGAGTTAAACTGACAAGAGTAGAGGTAAAGTGACTATACTGAAGAATTATGTAGAAGAGATGTAAAGTTGACAAATTCTTTAAAAAATATTTTGAAGAAGAACCTATAATTTTATAAAGTGAACTGGAAGCTGCTTTTAAAGCAACTACGGTAGAATAAATCCAAGAGCAGACAGAATATCATTAGAAGAGTATTACAGATAACATGGACCGCCAACAAGATAATTCATTTCTATACCAAATCAAGCCTGAAATCTGACTAGAAGCTAAAATAACTACATGGGGACTATTGTAATTTTGGTAGATTATGAGAAGACAAGAATCATTGGAAAAAAATAATGCCTTTTTTTTTCAAAGTTGAAGGTAGTAGGAAAAGGGGAATATAGAGTATGAGATGAATTGAGTCCCTAATAGACCTACAGCAGCCATGGCGAACCTATGGCACGCATGCCACAGCTGGCACGCAGAGCCGTCTCTGCAGGCACGTCAGCCATAAGTCACCAGATCGCTACTCTCCTCCCCCCCCGCTGCCAAACCTGAGGAGGCGGCTGCAGCCATGGTGCTGGCACCAAGATAGACGATGGGCCACGATCTGGAGCAGTCAGTGCTGGTGGCGGATCTGGAGTGGGGTCTTGAGGCACCTCTGTGCACGGGATTCCCCCTTGTGCCACCACTTCCAGTTCCTCCACCGTCACTTCCGGTTCTGCTGCCGCCCGCTGGTTTTGGGGCGGACTTTTTTTTTTGCCAGTTTGGGCACTCAGGCGCAAAAAGGTTCGCCATCACTGACCTATAGCAACTAGTCCGCAATATCTGGACAGGGCTATTTATGGTAAGATCTTCTGAAAGTCACAAATTCATATGGCTGCCATAAATTGGAAATGACAACACATAACCTACCTAGACATACAAGGGGAGAAGAAACCGGAAAGTTAGTTTCCATTCATTTCCTCCCACTGGCGAATGAATGGACCAAATCCACTCTGAATATCTAAGAGTCCACCACAATTAAATTGGTCAGATAATGTTTTCATATGATTTTTTTCTCTCCAATCAGGGTGGATAAAATATTGCTTTTTAGAGAAAAGATTGATTTAAATAATGACCTTGCAATGACCTTGCATCATCTTCCTTACCTCCTTTCACTCCCCAACGAATATTCACCCTTTAGATGGAGTTCCAAAAGTTACCATTCTACCCTCACACAAATGATCAAATAAGAGTTTGATCTTTTTGAAGCTGAATGATCTAGTAAGACAAACTGTCTAAATAAATTCTTATAATCTGAAGATTTACTGTAGATCTTTAGGAAGAGACCAGTTAATCATACATGAAGTTCAGAATAAACAATAAGAGGCAAATTCAATTGTTACCCCTAATCCTAAAGGTTGCTCCAATGAGATTTTGATAATACTTGTGTAAATCCAATTAGTAAAGTAAAGTTTTATGCAGTCATGGACCCGATTAATAAATCCAATTAATTCAATGGGTCATCTTTACTTGGAACTATCCTGTTTCCCCGAAAATAAGACCTAACCTGAAAATAAGCCCAGGTATGAGTTTTCAGGATGCTTGTAATATAAGCCCTACCCCCAAAATAAGCCCTAGTTAAGTGAAACCCGCCTTCCACCATTGTGCAGCAACCAGAAGATGACATGACTGTATTTAAATAAATGTAGATTGTTGTACATGAAAAAAATAAAACATTGTCTGAAAATAAGCCCTAATGCATTTTGGAGCAAAAATTAATATAAGACCCTGTCTTATTTTCGGGAAAGCACAGTAACAACTGAATTAATTGTTAGAAACCATCCAATTATTCCTTTTAAAAAAAGAGAAAAGAACTTATAGTACTTTAATCACCCTAAACTGGATTAAGACATTTGACTTTATTTATTTTATTTATAATTCGCAAGGTTAGTGAATTCACACAACTCTGGGAAGTATGCAAACAAAAACCCACAGCTAACACCCACTTCATTCCCATAACATAATGACATAATCAAAATGGCGCTATAACCAACTACAGAGAACCTGAGCATCAAACATTAAATTTAACATCATTTGAGGGTAGGATGTTCTTAAGAGTAAATTCCCATGACTTGAAAGTCCGAAACAGCATTAAGCAAGATACATGAATGCCAGAATACTGAAAATGACAGTCTCAGCTTCCCCAAATCTCTTGGCTGCTGTCTGCATCATCTAGGTTGATCTGAGTGTAAGTAAAGGTAAAGGTAAAGGTTCCCCTTGACAATTTTTTCCAGTCGTGTTCGACTCTAGGGGGCGGTGCTCATCCCCGTTTCCAAGCCATAGAGCCAGCGTTTGTCCGAAGACAATCTTCCATGGCCACATGGCCAGTGCAACTTAGACACGGAACGCTGTTACCTTCCCACCGAAGTGGTCCCTATTTATCTACTTGCATTTGCATGCTTTCGAACCGCTAGGTTGGCGGGAGCTGGGAGAAGCGACGGGAGCTCACTCCGTCGTGTGGATTCGATCTTATGACTGCTTGGTCTTCTGACCCTGCAGCACAGGCTTCTGCGGTTTAGCCCGCAGCGCCACCTTACCGCCACCACGTCCCTTACTGATCTGAGTGTAGTGCTACTTAAAAACAACAATGGGGGAAGCCCACTGTGATGTCTGGAGAAGAGCTTCAGCAGGGCAGCTCAATGATAGGACACATGCTTTGTGAGCAAAAGGTTCCATGTTCAAAACATTGAAATCACCTGGCCCAACTAGGAAAGGCTGCTGTCTGAAGAGCACTGCCACTAAGTGTCAGACTACAGTACAAGTTAGCCAATGGTCTGACTTGAAATAAGGTAGCTTCTTATATACCTCTCAACACAGTCTTGAAAAATTACGTTCCTCATGAGTTTTCCCTCTAGTCAAAAGACATTCTGCTATACTGGAAGGACACTCTATTCATGCAGCCATCATTCCCATTTCAATTCTCAGGATTTTCTACCCAGTGTATTTGCATTTGCATTTGCCTACTCTAAAGCCATATTTTGGGCCAATAGTTTCTGACTGCCACTAACTTGTCACCATCCCTGAAAAGAATGGGAAAAAGAAAAGCTAGGAGTCCATATGTTTCATTTCTAAGACAAAATACTAGCTAGCCAAGGACAAGAGGTGAAATAATGTTAAAGAGCAAGGAAAACTGTCTTGGAAAAGGAACACAGTCAAAATATTGTCTCAGTGTTTGACACTAAAGCCTTAGTTGTTTTTACTAACTTTTCAATGAAAATATTATTTGAAATATTTGATTCCGGGAATCTGGCCAGTCAAATAAGATAAGGAGCAGCGCAACACAATTACAAAATAGAACTGCTGCTAATTATGAGATAAATGATGGGAAATTACTACCTTTATTAGAAAAATGGCAACTTTGAACAGATGGGGAAAAAATTCACCATTGAGAAATCTCCAAATGGTCATGCAAAGCCAACACTGTGTGTAGCAGTACTACCTTATAGTGAATCTCAATGCCTTGTGCTATATGGTAAACATAATCAAGTCATTCACCTTTAGTAGCAGGACTCATTGTGCTATCATTTCAGTTCCCATCCCAAAGCAAAAGTTTGTCTTGTTTTTATCTATAATACTTTAAATATTTTTAACATAGGATACAAACAACATAAATAAGGAAAACAATAAAGACAGTGGGAAAGGCCCTTTTTAAATATTTGTTTAATTTTTTTCTCTGGCAAGAGTGTAGTAATGTTTAGGTCCATATTAAGTTACGGTCTATGGTTTTTCTCCTTTCAAATTAAAGGGGGGGGAAGAAATAACAATGTCATTGTAAGAAGCAAGTGAAATAGAAGAACGGTTTTGTGTGCAACTATACATACAACTATACACACAATGTCAAAGACAATGTAGACACACATCAGTTCTTACTCATCATACACACAAATAAAATCTAACCCAATACAATTAGCTTACTAGTATTGCATCCTATTTATACATCCATCTACTATGCAGTATTTCGTGCCTTCATGGAGCAGTTGACAGCAAGAACCTTATAAGCAGTAACAAGTGGGGTTACACACTTCAAAATTAAAAAAAAATGTGCACATGCCTACATAATCCCAAAAACCTCACATTATATCCTCGCTATTATTATGAGTATATCAGATGAGGGAGAGGAAGGAGGAGATGAGGGCAAACGAAGGCAAACAAATTGCAGGGTTTTCACATCCTCTTTGCTTTCAGGAACGGTTTTCTCCTCCTGGATAAAGGGTGTTATTATAATTTGTAAAGCTCCATTCCCCAAGTGGCAATTACCAAGCTCTTAATCTACAGCGTATTATGAAGTACACATTAATGTGATGATCAGAGAGTCATGACTAAGAAACAAGATGCCCATCTTATGTCACTCTCCTTGGGAGAGGAAGATGCTAAAGTGGACAGTTATATAGTCCAAAACAAAAAGGAATTGATTCTCTGATATTCTCTCTCTCTCTCACTCTCTCACACACAAACACCCGTCACTCCTCAGGCTCGTTTCTTACCTGCAAAGCTCCGCAAAGGCTTGGAAATTCAGCTTTTTAATTTTCTTCTCACTCAGCCAGTACCCAACCCGTTTCCCTTTCAGGAAGGTCTGCATCTTCTCTTCCCGCTCTCGAGGGCAAAATGTTCTTTCAGAGGGAAGCAGCAGCAGGAAGGAAACCAGCGACCCTGTAATGGGGGGGGGAATAAAAAAGGGGGGGGAAGCAAGCCACCCCGCGGAAACCTCTTAGGGAAATACGTGCATATAGGACGTGGTCTCTGTTCGGTGTGTTTATGGGTCGCTACGAGGCAACACTTATTCAGTCGCTAGGGTGCCTGCAACTCCGAGGAGGGCGAAAAGAGATGCGGAGGGGAGGGAGTGCAGATCTTGGCAGGTTTCTCATCCCTCTGGGGTTGTTTTTTTCTCTCCTTTCCTTTTTCACTTTATTTCCCCCCCCCCTTTTTTTTAAGCAGCTGAACCCTCGGAGAGGGTGGGAAGGCAAGGCGAGCTCCCTGCAGCCATCGGGAAACTTGCCCGGGTCTCCAGGTCCTCCTCCTCCACCACCTCCTCCTCAGCAGCAGCCTCGGCGAAGTTGGGTGCAACGCTTTTTTGCAGGCCCTCCGAGAGACGAGGCGGGTCGAGGAAGGTTCCGAGACAAGCCGGGAAGGGGCCTCTGGCGGCGGGCGAGGGCGCCTCGCCTCTCCCTTCCTCCTTGCCTCTCTGCCCGTTTAATGGCCCCGGGCTCAAGGCGGCGGCGGCGGCGGGGGGTGACTTTGCGACTGCAGCCGCTCTCCTCCTCCTCCTCCTCCTCCTGCCGCCTCCCGAGGAACCACAGCCTGAGGCAGCGGCAATTCGTGGCTTGCCGGCGCCGAGGAAAAAGGAGAAGCGAGGCGAGCCTGGGGAAGCCGCACGGTCGCCTCCTTCCTCTGGGGGCCCTTTCACGTCTCCGGTTGCCCGCTATTCTCCGCCGCCTCCACTTCCTCCTCCTCCTCCCGCCGCCGCCGGTCTCCTCCTCCTCCTCCTCCTCCCTCGACGCGGGGTGGCGGCGGCTCAAGGACACACCCTCGTCATCGTTGCAATTGCAGTAACGGCGGCGGCGGCGGCAGGAGGAGGACTTTTTGCCAATCTCAAGCGCGCAGCCCAGCCCGCTTCCCTTCTTCGCCGGTTTGTTCACGCTGGCGCTTGCAGGGATCGGCGGGGCCCTCGCAAGCAAACCCCAGGCTGGGAGTCGGAAGGGCCGGCAGGGGGCAGGATCGAGCGCAGAGTGGCGCGATCTCTCCCCCCCCTCCCGGGCATGGTGCTGACTCGGAAGCAACCCCCGTGGGGGGGGGGGGGAATCCGTGGGATTGACTCCCTTGTAAATGGCGCAAAAGGACTGGTGAGGCTAAAGAGACGCCAGGCTTTCGGTCCTCTACCCTAAGAGGACCGTTCTTTTAGCGAAATGACCCATGGGGGGCATTCCTTCGATCTTGGAGAAATCGCCTCGCATTGTCCTGGTGAAAAGAATAGCAAAGCGTCTTGGGACACTTTAAAGGCTAGCGAGGGGTTTATATGGGGTGAGCTTTTTGGGGGGGGCTGCAACCCACTTCATCAGCAATCGAGAAAGAATCTTACGAAGTGAGCGAAAGCAGATGCCCCGAAACTTCAAGACCTTCCGAAACTTTTTGTTACCGCTGTTGTTGCAACAAAGTAGCATGGTTACCATGTTCCATGGAAAATTCTTAAAAGGATTTTCAAGAGGTTCAATCCTTTCCCAAATCCTGGAATTAGCCTTGTACAGTGGTGACTTTGCAGCTCGAATGCCAGGCGAAAATCGGAAGGAGAGCTACATCGTTGGGCACCACAAGCTATATTGTTGGGACCAGACCAAAACCTTCCAACGTGAAAATTATTTGTTCAAATATACAGTATTCCTGTTACAGTCAATGGGGCTTCCCCAGGTCACAGCTGGTAAGGCTTAGTGATCAGCACATTGGATTTAAACAGGGAGGTCACCAACTCAATGCCCTTGGTGGTTGTCTCAACCAGACCTATCCTACAGCATTGCAAGTATCCTTGAGAAATGTCTGAAGCAAAAATTTAAAGTACAAACATACAGTTTTGAAGATAAGCACAAAATACCTGCTTTGTGTCTACTCAACAAACCACAGTTTTCTGGCAGTTCCTTGACATTTCCGCTGAAAATAGGCAGCAGGAACTGGGAAATCACCTTGTATTCATTCATTCATTCATTTAACTTATTTATATACTACTTTTCCTCCCACAAGGGACTCAAGGTGGCTCACAACAGTTCAAATAAGAAATTTTAAAAACACTATGTAAATATCACATTTTTTAAAGAAAAGTAAACATATATTAAGATTTTTTTTAAAAAAAATCAAGTATACAAACTATTGCATAATATAGAAAATTAAACATATATTAAGATTTTTTTAAAAATCAAGTATACAAACTATTGCATAATGTTTAAAAACTGTAAGTTAGACTTTTCCCTGCCCAAGACCATGGAGGGCTGCTGCCAGTCAGAGGGGACCATATAAGGTTAGATGGCCAAGTAGTGACCATCTGATAACAGAGTTACTGAAAAGCTGCATTTTTTGGTTTTTTAGTTCCAAATATTTCAGTAGCTGGGCTGGCTTGGGCATTATTGGAAATGAAATAGGTTAACAAAAAACAAATAATTCTCCAAGGTCTGCCTACTATAAAGCAACTTCCTACCACATATTCCATTTCTTTGAACATTCATGAGACTACAAGGCTTTTTTTTTTCAAGTTTCAAGTAAGTTAAGGGTACTAATATAACAGCATAAGAAGAGCTGCAGCAAACAGATATTTCTTATTTTACCAAATATTCTATTTGCACAGTGTCCAGCCAATTACCTAAGCACTGGTTTGCAGCCTTTGGTTTTCCCTGTCCCACCAAGCACTCTATCAAGGAACCCGAGTTCCTTCCGTGATAGAAACAAAACACACACGTTCACCCACCCCAGAAGTAACATTATATGTTTACGGACATTCCATTACTATTGGTTGTTGTGGGTTTTTCGGGCTGGACATTCCATTACTATTGGTTGTGGGTTTTTCGGGCTCTTTGGCCATGTTCTGAAGGTTGTTCTTCCTAACGTTTCGCCAGTCTCTGTGGCCGGCATCTTCAGAGGACAGCAACCTGTGCTCTGGTCTGAAGATGCTGGCCACAGAGACTGGCGAAACATTAGGAGGAGCAACCTTCAGAACGCGGCCAAAGAACCCGAAAAACCCACAACAACTATTAGATCCCAGCCGTGAAAGCCTTCGCAAATACATTCCATTACTATATTTAACATTTGAGATAAATTGTTAGGCAGCAGAACCAGGGGATAGTTACTACTAATACAACATCAGAAAGGACATACGTAGGTAAATTTGTGGTAGACAGGTCAGTAAAACATAGCACATCACTTTTGTAGGAGGACATGGAGATTGAAGGAGTTCTTAGCAATTGATATGAAAACCTGTCTCCCACTAGTTGAGAAGTAGAATTACTAGTCTATGAGAAGCCCATTAGCAACACATGCGTGCAACTTCCCCTTCTGTGTTGCATTCCCCAGCAACGAATACATGGTGATGTTGTGTATCCGATCATGATACATAGGGTATGACTGGACAGCTTGATTTTCCCAGCCTGGCTCAGACTAGATAGTACTAAACCCAGTACCTCTGGAGTACAATATGTCATTTGGGTGAGTCCTTATGTCCATATGCAAGGATCAACTTTACTGCATCTCAAGTGACCCTATTTTAATACAACAAAATCCCCCTCCTGTCTCCCCCTCCATGCTTTGCTGAAGTTGCTTCATAATTTTTGGAAATAGAAAGCTTCCTCCCACTCCCCTACGGAGGAGGAAAAAGAGGAAGCAAGGTCTTTTCTTTCCTAAGTGGTGTATCCCATCAGCACTGCCTTAGAAGGGCTTTTAAAAAAGAACCTTTACTTCCTCTCTCTTCCCCTCTACAGGGGAGCAAAGCAAACTTTCAGTTTTCTAAGATTGCGAAGTCTTAAGGGACAGCTTAAGATATTGAATTTGGTTTGATCCCCTGATACAGAACCAATCCAAAACAGATTAATCTGACCCCTCCCCCTCAAAAAAAAAAGGGTTGCTCCTGATGGGGACCCAAAAAGGTGTGAGTAGGCGTGGATCAGGGATGGACTGGTTTGCAATAATCCATGGAGAATATGGTTGCCAGAAAAAGGAATGGACCAGCCTGTCCCCAAAATGGACCACACCATGGGACAAATCCCCATCTGATTATACCCATAGGTACCTTATTATATGAACCAGAGTCCTGGCCTAGTCCAAATTGGTGGGCTGTAGTTCCCCTTCTGCTGAAAGCATCAGAGCCAGCTGTGAGGCAGGCAACCAGATATCTCAGATGTAATTACAATAGTTAGTAGAAACTTTGGTGGGGTTATTTTATATAGAGGGGTTGTCAGATGACATCTTTAACAATGTGCACAGATGGTTGTTGTAGGTTTTTCAGGCTGTTTGGCCGTGTTCTGGAGGGTTTTTTTCCTAAAGTTTCACCAGTCTCTGTGACTGGCATCTTCAGAGGACAGGAGTTAGAACTCTGTGTTCTGGGGTAGTGTGTGGGATAGTTGAGTATCTGTACCTGTGGGATCAGCTTTTTGTCCTTTTCAGGTGATTATGGTGATCAGGCTGTTTTTTTGTTATGGGTAATACAAAAAATACCATGATCACTAGAATCACCTGAAATGGGTAATATTGAGTAATACACCCATAACAAAACAAAACAAAACAAAAAAACAACCCTAATCACCATATCACCCAATCTCCTGAAAAGGACAAAAAGCTGATAATTGGTAATACATCCATAACAATGGGTAATACACCCATAACAAAAAACACCCTGATCACCATAATCACCCAACATCCTGAAAAGGACAAAAAGATGATCACACAGCCTGAGTAATACACCCATAACAAAACAGAACAAAACAAAAAAACAACCCTAATCACCATATCACCCAATCTCCTGAAAAGGACAAAAAGCTGATAATTGGTAATACATCCATAACAATGGGTAATACACCCATAACAAAAAACACCCTGATCACCATAATCACCCAACATCCTGAAAAGGACAAAAAGATGATCACACAGCTACAGATACTCAACTATCCCACACACTACACTAGAACACAGAGTTCTAACTTCTGTCCTCTGAAGATGCCAGCCACAGAAACTGGCGAAACATTAGAAAGAAAAGCCTACAGAACACTGCCAAGCAGCCTGAAAAACCTACAACAACCTTCGGATCCCGTCCATGAAAGCCTTAGAGAATACAATGCTCACAGACTTTAAAATGCAGCAGTCAAGTAGGAAAGAAGATAGTCGAATCTACCTTCTCTTACTGTCTCCAGCATAGAGCGATTCTCCATTTTCACTTGGATGAAAAGATGAAGGAAAAGAAAGCACAGGTATAAGACTGTGTTATGTATAATATTTCTTATTGGGGTTATTTATTAACCAGGCAATCCTGTTTTATTATTGCTGCTCACATACAGTATATATCTCATATTTCTTCTGTTCCCTGTAGGATAGACTATATAGTTCTCTTCCTTCACACTTTATAGGTAAATCAGCTTAAGATAGAATGATTGGCCTAAGATTACGCATTGAGTTCCATGGCTCAATGCTGATTAGAATTTGGATCTTCCAAGTTAAAATAAGTCAGGACTTGCATTAGACTTTGAAAATAATGTGATATTTTATTTTATTTTATTTTGTAGCCTATGGCCATTGCAAATTTTTACAGTGTCATTCATGTAGCTGCAGGATCTTTCTGATGACTTAGCCTGGCTGAGCAGGAAATAAAACTTCATATCTCTAAAGATGCTAAGTACTGACTCATCAGGCCTGGGTGTGCCTTGCTAACTAAACAAGTTTCTTTTTCTTTTTCTTTTTCTTTTTTGG